GGGTAAAAAAAAAAAAAAAAAGACCCCAAAAAAAGACAGGAACTCTTCAGAGCAATAAAAGTAAAATGTGGAACTTGCCATATTTCTAGAAGTAAATAAATCCATACAAATCCATGAGTTATATTTCTCCTCTCCCGGGTTTTGATGGGTCCAGTGGTGCTGTCTGTCCTGCAGCCAGCACCTCCAGCATCCCGGCGTTCTGAAACCCCGCCAGGTTAGATCAGAAGGCGGTGAGCAGGCAGGGAGGACACCGAGTCAGTAACATCAGTCACTGTGACTTGGAGAAGGCAGTCACAGCTGGCCTAAAATCTCTGCCTAGTTTGCCGAACCATGAGCATCGTTACCTGGCCCCGGGACGAGGTGGGCAGGAGCCACTGCTGCCTCCCAGCGCCTGGTGGGACCCCGGCCCCAGGGAGGGCAGCGACACGCTCCCTCCGCACCCGCCTGCAGCGTTACCTTGCTCATGTTCTCGTTTTCCCTTAAATTGCACATTCTAGAAACTGCTAATGTTTAAAATGTTGTTTGTTTTTTTTTTTTTTTCCTCCCCTTTCTTAGAAAACAGCCAAACCCCAACCCCATAGTGTTTGCTCAGCCCGAAGACACGTCTCCTCTGGCAGGACAGAGGAGAAATGCTCGAAGACGCGCTGTGCAGACCAGCAAAGCAGGAGACAGATACACCTCCGCCCGCCCTCCCTCTCGCCCGCAGTACAAACCCATTTGAAACTCAACCCCAAACCCCGTACGAATGAAGCCCAACCCCTGGCCGTGCTCCCGGCCCAACTGGTCACAGTGACTGCGTTGTATCTATAACATCTGCTAAACCTACATCTCCAGCCGACTCTTGCCGTACCTGGGAGGCACAGAAGCCTTCTGGAAGCCCCGAAGCACACAGCCCTACAAGCACAGACACTCCTACAGCTACGTGAGGATATTTATATCTTTCACCGACCACCCCCAGTCTCAAAACCCAGCACAGAGTCCACCCCACCAAGTGTTTCGGGGTTAGGGCAGCCGCACGTGTGTCCCAGCGGCTGGTGTGTGGTGGGAGGGGACGGCAAAGGGTGAGCCTGGCCCTTCCCAGAGCTGCCGGTGGGTGTCTGACCTGCTGTCTCCCCCCGTCCCTGCAGCGGTTAGGGAAGGTGGGAGGACAG